CCTCCAAGATCACCAGACTTGACGCCTTGCGATTTTTGTTTATGGGGGTACATTAAATCGTGTGCTTATCGATGCTGGCATACCACATTGGCCATGTTAAAGGCTTCTATCAGATGGCACGTTTTATTAATTTCAACAGATATTTTTCTTAATGCTGTCCATTCTGTCATTTGTCGTCTGCAGGCGGTGATTGAGAATGAAGGGTGCCACATTGAGCAAGGATTGTGACCTAATACAAGAGAGAATGGGATAAGGGGGATAATTGGGATATGGGATAATAAATGCTGTCCTCACATCTTGACTCTTTTTTTTTGTGAACAGTAATATTTTGTTTGTATTTGCTCACATATTATTTCGTGCAAACCAGAGTGTTATAACTTCTCGAATAACACTGGTGCACACAATTTTTTCCCTTATGTTTAGTTTTTCGCTTTTCGCTCATTAGAAGAAATAGCATAAGGAATATTTTCTGTACACCAATAACTTTAGAAATTTTGTGCAAAAAAATAATACAAAATGATTTTACTACCCCGTTTTTCAACGCAAAAGGTCGATTTGAAAAATATTTTTATTTGAGGGGACACATTTTTTAAAATTGGGTACAGTATGAGAGAGAGTTGAATTAAAAATATTAGAAATTTATTATCTTCGGAAACACAAACCGTATCTAAAATATCATTTTTTTTTTGCTACATGTGTAAATTTGCATTTACCTATTTTACATATCTCTGATTGTATTTAAAAATTGTTAACCAATTCTTCATACTTTTGGCGAAGTGGTGTTTTATTAATTTGTTATTTTATGTTATTAGGGTTCTTTCCTGGTATTCAAAAAGGAAAAATACGTGTCGATCAGTTATATTTTTCAATTTATCAAACAATTTGGCCGCTGAATCTCTGATTTTGGTAGTGCGCCATCTGGCGAATAAAATTGTAACTAAAATCAATTTCGAATTTTTCATTATTTGCCATAAAAAATCCCATTGCATCCTGAACACAATGGTGTTTACCGCATTGCTCTAGCGCAAATATTCGCGGAGTTATTAATTTTTAAAGTTGTGCGGGACTTTTGGATCACCCTGTATATTACACGTTATTTGTTTTCTTGGCCGACTGTTTTACATATGGTGCTATCTAAAAATTGCTTGTTTTGAATATTTTTTCAGATTGAGATTATTAGCTAGTATGTAAAAAAATTAACTCTTTTGAAATTTAATTTTGTATTTATATATAAATAAAATTAACTCTGTTGATTTTTTTGTATTTAATCGATAACAGCGAAGTTACGCATGTTAATGTTAGGGAAAAATATTTTGATGTTAAGCAAAACCTGCTCCATCTCGTTTTACATAAATGTTGAAAATTTGGTTGAAATTGATGCATTGTAACGAAAGTTTTTAGTGATGTACACTTATGAAATTTGCATTTTATTAATATAGATATATTAGTACCACCGAACTGGTATCACAGGGACCATGCTAATCTTCTCTGTATTGTAGTAGTTTTACCGCCGAACTGGTAAAATGCAGGAGTAAAATTTAACAGAAAAAAAAAAGTGCCGAAACCCGGGATCGAACCAGGGACCTTTAGATCTTCAGTCTAACGCTCTCCCAACTGAGCTATTTCGGCTTAATATTGCTATGCATTTTTCATTCCTTATATATATATTAGTACCACCGAACTGGTATCACAAGGACCATGCTAATCTTCTCTATATTGTAGTAGTTGTACCGCCGAACTGGTAAAATGCAGGAGTAAAATTTAACAGAAAAAAAAAAGTGCCGAAACCCGGGATCGAACCAGGGACCTTTAGATCTTCAGTCTAACGCTCTCCCAACTGAGCTATTTCGGCTTAATATTGCACAGGGACCATGCTAATCTTCTCTGTATTGTAGTAGTTTTACCGCCGAACTGGTAAAATGCAGGAGTAAAATTTAACAGAAAAAAAAAGTGCCGAAACCCGGGATCGAACCAGGGACCTTTAGATCTTCAGTCTAACGCTCTCCCAACTGAGCTATTTCGGCTTAATATTGCTATGCATTTTCATTCCTTATATTATATATATATTAGTACCACCGAACTGGTATCACAGGGACCATGCTTATCTTCTCTGTATTGTAGTAGTTGTACCGCCGAACTGGTAAAATGCAGGAGTAAAATTTAACAGAAAAAAAAAAGTGCCGATACCCGGGATCGAACCAGGGACCTTTAGATCTTCAGTCTAACGCTCTCCCAACTGAGCTATTTCGGCTTAATATTGCTGTGCATTTTTCATTCCTTATATTATATATATATATTAGTACCACCGAACTGGTATCTCAGGAGCCATGCTAATCTTCTCTGTATTGTAGTAGTTGTGCCGCCGAACTGGTAAAATGCAGGAGTAAAATTTAACAGAAAAAAAAAGTGCCGAAACCCGGGATCGAACCAGGGATCTTTAGATCTTCAGTCTAACGCTCTCCCAACTGAGCTATTTCGGCTTAATATTGCTATGCATTTTTCATTCCTTATATTATATATATATTAGTACCACCGAACTGGTATCACAGGGACCATGCTTATCTTCTCTGTATTGTAGTAGTTGTACCGCCGAACTGGTAAAATGCAGGAGTAAAATTTAACAGAAAAAAAAAAGTGCCGAAACCCGGGATCGAACCAGGGACCTTTAGATCTTCAGTCTAACGCTCTCCCAACTGAGCTATTTCGGCTTAATATTGCTTTGCATTTTCATTCCTTATATTATATATATATTAGTACCACCAAACTGGTATCACAGGGACCATGCTTATCTTCTCTGTATTGTAGTAGTTGTACCGCCGAACTGGTAAAATGCAGGAGTAAAATTTAACAGAAAAAAAAAAGTGCCGAAACCCGGGATCGAACCAGGGACCTTTAGATCTTCAGTCTAACGCTCTCCCAACTGAGCTATTTCGGCTTAATATTGCTATGCATTTTTCATTCCTTATATTATATATATATTAGTACCACCGAACTGGTATCACAGGGACCATGCTAATCTTCTCTGTATTGTAGTAGTTGTACCACCGAACTGGTATCTCAGGAGCCATGCTAATCTTCTCTGTATTGTAGTAGTTGTACCGCCGAACTGGTAAAATGCAGGAGTAAAATTTAACAGAAAAAAAAATTGCCGAAACCCGGGATCGAACCAGGGACCTTTAGATCTTCAGTCTGACGCTCTCCCAACTGAGCTATTTCGGCTTAATATTGCTAGGCGCACTTTTCATTCTTTATATTATATCCGAGTGAAAGTTTGCCTAACGAATATTATATATTATGAAGTATA